CCCCAAAACCCCAAAACCCCAAAACCCCAAAACCCCAAAACCCCAAAATCTAAAAATAGATTGAATCTTCTCAAAATTATTTCACAAGAAGATAGTTTAATTGATAAAATATTCTCAATAATTCAGCAAACTCTCCATTAATATTTTCTCTAATTTCTTAAAGCCTGCGTCGGATAAGAAGTTACCTAAAGTTGCCTACCAAAGTTTTTACCGATGTTGCTGTCATATAAAGGACATGATCAGATCTTTGAAGATGTTCAAAAAATTTAGGATGACTCCAAAATTCGCCTGCATTAAAAACAGCAAAGAAGAGTTATAAAGTATCTAGCATTGCAAGATCCGTCTTTTATATCAGAATCAGGCATATTCATTAGTATCTATAGGTATTTCAACATTTTATTCGTTGCTGAGAAAGGAGAAAACAGAGAGTTAATTATTAGGAAAATTAGATAAACAGTAAAAGGCTCTGTGAAAATTATTTCTTCAAATTTCATTAATAATAACTTAGATATCAAATAATTTTAGTCCACTGGATATTCAAAGCTTCAAGGTATAGACTTTCAAAAACGATTTAAAATTTGTCCTTTACTTCCGCTTTTAAGATGCTATTTGGCAATTTCTTTGATTACAAAGAAAATCCATTGCTCTTCAAAATACTTAAATGCGAATTTTCATACTTCTCCACAGTCTTATATCGCTTTCTCTGTATCTCTATGCTAATCACCACGAGTCTAGAGAGGCTGCCAAGTTGTAGTAACGAAGTATCCCTTTGGGTGTTAACCCAGGCCTAAGTTGCTTCCCAAGTTTGCATCTATATTCACATTAAACTTTCCTTCTATACGAACTTTGTTGAAATGACCAGAACCGAAATTAAACCACTACTTCTTATTCCCTGGTGCTGTAGGATTAGATTTAGATGATATCTATATTGGACCTTAGAGAGAATTGCAACTCTTCACCTCTATTCAGTCAGAGCCATATCACTCTTTAGGATCAGAATTTCACATACATTTTATTATGAAATCTCAGGTGTTCTTATCTATACAGAATTTGAAGGAAGTCTTACTTTCTTTTTAGAGTTAAACTATTGTTCATTATTAAAACCTATTCTCAAGACTCTGGCCGCAGATATTTATAAAGCAACAAGGAGTGTCTCTCCTCTAAATTCTGCTGTATGAGAGCATCTAACGATTAAAATATTACAAATAAGCTCTATACTAAAAAAGTTCAAAGTCTCTAACTTAATTAAGATGGGGACCTATAAAACTCACTAAAACTAAAATTTCTATTAAATACGACTTCTTCAATAATCCATCAAGGATAATTTTCTCTCAGAGTTCACCAACAAAGAAGTCTTCAGCACAGTATGAAAGTGTGCCTAGCTTAAAAGAGTGAAGGTAGAGAAGGTCTCCATTTTAAAGGAGGGAGATAAGATAGCCAGGGTTTCATATGAGGAGATAAGCACTCATGATTCACTTTGATAAGAGAGGTTTGAGCGAGTTTAATCAAATTAGAAAGACAAATGCAATCAGAGGAGATACATCATCTTGTCAAGACATAATGTTTGGATGATAGGGGATGGCATGGCCTCTGTTTAATGAAGAGAATAAAAGTTTCAAAACATTTTCTGGATTAAAGTCAAGATAATGTTGATAATAAAGGGTAAAATTGGAAAATATGATATCAATTAGATGCTTACCTAAGGTCAGAGATAAAACTCACTGATCCAGAGTACCTAAATATCTTATGGCTATTAGTTCAAAGAAAGCTAAGAGTCCCACCAACTGATTGAGGGATAATAGCGTACCTGGTTCACCACTTGAAGAATTATTGATATATCCTAATGTTAATTCCCCGAATAAACCAACACTGTCTTGTATTAGAAGGAGAAATAATAATATTTTATTGACAGAAAGCTCCTCCATAAATGTAAGCATTTAGTATCTCTTGCTCCGTTGTAATAATTATTAAAATTGGCTATATTAGGATTCAGGGTTTTCCCCTAAGAAAAATTTCATTATACGGTTTGAAGCATTTCATCACTCACTATAATGGAAATATAAAGAAGCATCCAAGCAAAGAGAAGTAGGATTTCTCATTTCTAATATAGATGAGAGTCTTTAGCTTCTTCTTCCTTAGCATGATGAGCAATGATCGCGCTCGCAAATATGAAGAACTTCGAAATTAATAATCAGGGTGAATTTACAAATTTGGATAGACTAGGTTTTGGAAAATATTTCAAAATACATCAGGCCATAAGTTTACAAAGTTTAATTGCATGGGACCAAGGAGGACTCTCAAGCGTCTCTATAATTTAAATAACTCTAATTGAGGCTCTAAATGAGCATTATAGGTTAGTTCTCTTACGAGAGTACCTGTATGTTGGACGAGGTCACCACACAACTTTGTACTAACATTTATGAAAGTTTTCTAAAGGAATCATAACCTTAAAATTTAGATCTTTCAGGAAACTAATGAGGAACGTCTTAAAGTCTGACTTCATATAAAGATAGTCCCTCCTCGGTCCTTAAGTTCTGAACTCAATAAACTTGCTTATATTAAGACCCAAGACTTTGACAGTTTGAGTTATGCTGAAGAAAATATGGCTTTTAAGAAGAAAAACTTTAAGGAACTTTGCGGAACATGGGATTTAAGAAGTTTAAGCATCCAAGTCCTTAAATTTATTGGCCAATGATAGAGGGTTATCTGTATAATTATGAGCAATATTTTCCTGAATTAACTTTCATGAGAGATGGAAACTTTATTCTTAAAGCTGAATAAATCATATGACAAATTCAAATGAAAAAATTATGCATAACTAGCCCCAAAGTTCAAATAAGTTTCTTCAATAAAATTAAAATTGCTTTAAAATATCTCACGATGCTGCGATATTTCTGTTTGTCTCTTAACCTACAATCCAATTTGAACCCCCAAAATTTATGATGAAAATAGCTATGTCTTTTTCTTTCATCGTTAGCATAGTAAGTATTTAAATAAAACTGCGTGTTGATTATATTCTTAGCTAACCTCCTCGTTTGAACGACCCAATGTAAGCATTATTGGTAAAATTTACTCACAAAAATTATTTTCAGAGAGTTACTCAGACTAAGGAAAATGGTGATTAATCTTAATGTTCCTCCCTGATCATAAAAATTCTCACCCAGTCTCCTCCAAGATATAGTTTTAAGCATAGACAGTAGAGTTTGTAATAAAAGATCTTCCGAATGAATTCGAAAGGCCAACATGGTGGACTCCTGACTATCAATAATACTTTCCAAGGTTATAAAATGCCCATGAACCAGGTGAGATTTTATGAAAATGAACCCAAAATCCCATTTTCAAAGCTGCCAAAAGAGGGAAAGATGAAACTGTAGATTTATTGAAGTTTAATAAAACTTAATCGTGAGATGCTGGAATTAAGGTCAGCCTTACGGTTTAGTATACCGTATCATTATTTAACTCAACTCTTCAATAAAGATATCTACTCTAGGGTCATTTAGCTCTTGGATCAAGCACCATGCTAGAGTTCTCAGGTTCTCTGACTCGAGGGCATTTTCAAATCTGATTCTGGAGAATTGTCTTGTGCATCTTTGGAAGGCAGTAACCTGATTCTTGATGTCTAAACGACATGTCAGTTCAGGAGCTTTCTTGATCCCAATGATTCCGATGGTATAGTAAATGAGATCTTCAGTAAAACTTTCTAGAGGAATCAATTCAGCCAGCATGGCATGAACCCTCTCATAAACCTCTTGGAGAGTGCACTTGAGGTAGGTCTTCTGGACAATTTCTGGATTTTGAGTTTTAAAGAGATCTCTATAAAACTTCCTGAGAAGTCTGATCGCTGATTTATATGCAACATCTCTTCTGTTAGAACTCGTTAGATCCTTTATCGAAATTTTCCGAGTTGGAATTGCTTGACCAAGTTTAAGATCGTCTTCAAAAGCACATTCAGACTCTTGACCATTTACAATTTTCCTTAGGTATCTACTGAAATAATTGGATTGGGATTCACCTCAGCTTTCATTAGATGCTTGCTGTTCAAGAGGAGCAAGGCTACTTAAAAGCCAAGGTGAGTAAGATTCTGGAGAACTCATCGAGGAACTAAATAGGGAGCCAATCTAAATTTAGGTTAGATCAAACAGTAATAACAAAGGTGAATATTTGCTTTTATTTGAACCTATCAATGACACCTTTTGGAAATCAAAAGCGGTTAATATTGTTAGAAATATTAAAGAAGCTTGCTTACGTCTTCAGGTTCAGCCCTGGCAATGCTGGCGAACACGTTTTCAGGATACAAGTAAGAAGCGTCATTGATATCGCAAAGTTTGGAGAAGTTTGTATGGGAACTCATTATTTTATTATTTGTACTTGAACCTGTTTATCAATTAAGACAACAGCACGGGGTTTTGGGGTTTTGGGGTTTTGGGGTTTTGGGG